TGCTGAACCTCCTGATGGTACCTGGTATTTTGGGCCACTGTGTGACAGAGTGCTGGAATGGATGGGCCACTGGCCTGATCCAACATTGGCTTCTCTTATGTTCTTATCAACAATTTTAAGCAGAATTACACTGATCTATCCAGTGGGCTTAGAAAGGTATAACTCTGCTTAGGACTGCACCGTATGCTGCTTAAATCTTTCCCAACACATACTGGTATTCAGAACTAATACCACCAACGTTTGCCATTAATATGACTAAATGCACACTAATGAATACAGTATTCAGCTGTTTGCTGGAAACATGTCTCACTTGCAAGTCTACAAATTAACTTCTTGGATACCATTTCCTAGAAGCAGCCATATATTAAAGGCAGTAAAGAAGGGAGATCTTGTACTGAATCACTGGAACATGGTGATACCAGAGGATGGTGTATGTCATGTATCAAAAACACACAGCTGATTTCCCCATACATGGACCTAAGCCTAAAGGAGAAAACTATTTCCTTCAGGCTGTCTTTTAAGCCGACTCGTTTGTTCCTCTTTTTCTTGTCCTCATTAGACTAAACCACAGCAAAACGAAATGGACAACTCTGACCTCACGCCCCAAAAGCAACCATTTCTGAATCGCCCGAAATATTAAACCAGGGAGGAACGACTCGATCAAAGCCGGCGACCTGCAGTCAGTTCAAATTGTACCGGCAACCTGGATTGGTGGGTGGGTCGGCTTCTGTCTTGGGGCAAAGGGGATCATAATGGTGGTAGCCGAAAGGGCGGAACTACAACCTCTCTGGGGAGTTGATAATGGGAGGCAGCGCTGGAGGAGTCCACATTCTCTTCCTCCCCCTTAAACGAGCGGATTGTCCAACTCACCAGCTGCTCAGCGGCGGCACTTCCTCCCCCTCCGCCATAGCTGTTGACGTGCCTCACCACCGTGCCGTAAGTCATGACCGAAATTTGTCGCGAAATAAACACCAACCCACTTCTTTCCTACATGGCTGCCGTAAAACTCCCAGTATACTTTGTAGTGGTCTATAGTAACTTCTCTTTGTGCCGATGTGGAGATAGATTGACGCATCGCGTGCATAGAAACTGTTTGTGTCTCTCCCCACCACTACTGTTGTAAAAGTTCAAACTAGTTTTCCATAATCCCATTCCATCTTTTAGAAATTTCAACACAGAGATGTAAGAGCCTAGAGTGGTTTATCGCGGCCAACGATCCATTCTTTTACCGGAAGTTTAGGCTCTCTTATTTTAAACTCTATATGATTGGTAACGTCTTCTCTACACAACAAGGGGCAATAATCTTTGTGGTTCTCTAGAAGGTCTTCCGGTCTCCGATTGAAGTTGCTGTAATTCTCCATGTGCGGGGCAAGAGAGTTGGAAATACGTAGAAAACATTATTAGACACAAATAAAGAACTTCGGGTTAGCGACTTTCTTTTGCCGCGCTGTCTTGAAATAAAATGTCTCCCTGGTAAAAATGTACAAAATAAGCTAGAAACGGCTGATCTTTCCCGCCTGCTAAGCGTAAGCATAACAAGAAAAAAATATGTATACAGATGCAGAAGCCGTGATGAATAGAGCGTCACCTGTTGAATTTCAACCTGTTGTCTAGGGTTGAATGGCAAAGGAAGCAGCCTGACAGTGTGCGGGTTGAATTGTATGCAGACACTACGAGAGACTATCTGATGCGCCTGTCCGGTGAATCGTGTAACACGAGCCCCTCCAGACTCAACCACAGGAGATGTAGCAAATTAGATAGCTTTTAAAGTGCCACAGATTTTGCCATTTTGACACCAGAGACGCTAGTAATCCTTTTTCCTTTTCAGGTCTCGGTATCGCAGGGGGGTTGTTTCGGTTGCCCTCATCGGTACAGTTCCAGAACCAAAACGACCTAGTAATTGATTAAATGAGGCTTAAATTTTAGCTATTCGTTAGAAAGCTGAACTGAGAATAATAAATATTTTTTAACTGATTTCTAGACGGAAATCTTAAGACTTCAGTAGTGTATATACTATGATTATACACCTTCAGTTCCGCGGTTCCGAGCTCTCCCGGTTAAAATACCATCCGAAATTGGTTCAATAAATTTCTGATTCCCACGGACCAATAGTGCCATCCCATGACCATTCAAGTTTACTACACATAAAACAAGTTGTTGTTGTTCAGTCGCACAGTCGAGTCCGACTCTTCGCGACCCCATGGACCAGTCTTCCGCCGTCCTCTGAAGTTTGCTCAATTTCATGTTCGTTGCATCGATGACACTGTCTAACCATCTCATCCTTTGCCGTCCCCGTCTTCTTTGACCTTCAATCTTTCCCAGCATCAGGGTCTTCTCCAGTGAGTGCTCCCTTCTCATTTGGTGGCCAAAGTATTTGAGCTTCAGTTTCATTATCTGGCCTTCCAGGGAACAGTCAGTGTTGATTTCTTTTAGGATTGACTGATTTGATCTTCTTGCAGTCCAAGGGACTCTCAAGAGTCTTCTCCAGCACCATAGTTCAAAAGAATCTATTCTTCGGCGCTCGGCGTTCCTATAGTCCAACTCCCGCAGCAAGTGAGTTTCTTCAAAATTAAACTGCTCTTTATTTTGCATCCGTACTGGAAAGAAGTCTGTCTCGGTGACATCGATGTGGCTTTGCTGCGTACAAACTTTAAGCGTTTGTTAAAAGTGAGGAATCACAACACATTCTCTCCCTCATCCCGCCAATGCCAAATGTGCAAGTATGGTTATTATAGAGAGCGTGGTGTATTTAGTTTATTGCAAAAAATTAAACAGGAATCCAGCGGCATCTTGATGATTAACAAAATTTATTTCAGCATAAGTTTTCATGACTAGGACATCACTTTATCAAATGCAGTAGAATTCTTGTACAGACAGCGGGCTATACCTCGGAGGCAAGGCGTCTGCTTTGCATGATGCAGGAGATTGTAGATTCTCAGGCAACTCGTTAACAGATTCGGAATGTAGACGATGTGACAGGCTGATCTCTACCTAAAATCCGTGGCAAGCTGTCGCCAGTCAGATTAGACAAAACTAACCTTTAATAGTTCTGTGGCAGCTTCGTGTGTGTTTACAACCGAATGCACACCTAAGCAGAGTTGTTCCCTGTCAAGCATTTAAATCAATGGACTTAGGACAGTAAACAGGCTCTGTGTAGGATTTCTGCTCTGAGTTTTTCAGCGCCTCCTCATTTCCATTGGTGGAACTAATTTGTGGACTGAGTTTAAAGTAGTACGGAAACTCTTCGACCCAGAGGTCACCCCAAACACACCATCAAATCACATAGCTCATCCATGGCCACAACTTGCACCACAAAAATCACAGATCCTCAGCTTCATGGTGAATCCATTCTGCAAAAACATGATTCTAAAGCACGGGTCCTTATGGATCGTTGGGATTTTTGTGTTCGGACATCCCAAACATACCATTAAATCCCATATCATGTCCATAGCCACTACTTGCTCCACAGAATTCATGGATCCACGGCTTCCTGGCAACATGCTGCACAAACATCATTCCGAAGTACGGATCCCCATGGATCCTCAAGGCTTTTGCATTGGGTCACCATGAACACACCAACAAATCCCATCTCATGTCCATGGGCACAGGTTGCACCACAAAAGACATGGATCTACGGCTTCGTGGCAACACCATAAAGCCACAACATGGACCCTCAGGGTTTCTGCATTGGGTCACCATGAACGCACCATCAAATAACATATAATGTTGATGGGCACAGTTTGAACCACAGAAATAATTGATCCACAGCTTCGTGGCAAATCCATGCAGCCAAAACATGGTTCTGAAGCACGGATCCTCATGGATCCTTGGGTTTTTCATATTGAGTCACTCCAAACACATCATGTAATCACATAACATGTCCATGGTCACAGCTCTAACTGCAAAAATCATGGATGCACAGCTTCATGGCAACACCATTCTGCAAAAACATCGTTCTGGAGCATGGATCCTCATGGATGCTTTGGGGTTTTGTGTTGGGACACCCCAAACATACCATTAAATCCCATATCACGTCCATGGCCACTACTTGCTCCAGAGAATTCATGGATCCAGAGTTTCGTGGCAACAACATACTGCAAAAACATGGTTCCGAACTACGGATCCTCATGGATCCTCAGTGTTTTTGTGTTCAGTCACCATGTTCTCACCATCAAATCACATATAATGTCTATAGGCACAGCTTGCACCACAAAAATCATGGATTCACAGCTTTGTGGCAATGCCATGAAGTCACAGCATGTTTCTGAAGCATGAGTCTTCATGGATCCTTGGGGTTTTTGCAATGGTTTACCCCAAACACACCATCAAATCACATAGCACATCCACGGCCACAGCTTGCACCACAAAAATCACAGATCTACAGCTTTGTGGTAACACCATTCTGCAAAAAGATGGTTCTGGAGCACATATCCTCATGGATCCTCAGGGTTTTTCCAGTTGGGTCACCCGAACATCACCATCAAATCACATATCATGTCCATGGGCAAAGCTTGAACCACAGAAATCATGGATCCACTTCGTGGCAAAACCATGCAGCCAAAACATGGTTCTGAAGCACGGATCCTCAT